CATGTTGTGATGGGTATAGGGGTGGGTGTTGATAATGAAGAGAATGACTGATATCCAATTTCTACATTGAGTTCTATCAAGAAAAGTGTATTTTGAAATGTTTAATTTAATGAAGGCATACTATTGGTTTTATTGGGATCAAATTGTAATAAAAATAACGATTATAAGAAATATTTTTGCAAATGCATTCCTACATCTCCAGGCATACAGACAGTGTTGTATATAAAATTAAATAATGATTTCAATAAATGAAATGAGTTGCACTTCGACGCATTCATGTATAAAAGAATTCTTGTACCTACGGAGAGAATAAATAATAGTTTTAAGACTTCTTATGAGAGTACTTTTCAAGTGCCAGATAGATATCCAATATAATTAATTATGCATATCTGCAAATAATTGATATTTAAAAATCTCTTTTTTGAGAGGTTGATACTAACTATCATGAATAAACATTTCGTAAAATTTCAGTTAATTTCATTTGTTACTCTTGAAATTTTCTATAGTAAGAGGCTTGGTCTGACCAAACTTTTATGTAAAAATCTCATGCTTTTAGGCATCGGCGGAGGGAAGATTTATGATGATGTTTAGAGTTTGATTTTCAATGAGAAAATAAATGGTAACTCTTAAGAAATATGGAGAACCAGAAAAGCATCTTTTTTCAATCTCATCAGGGAAAAAACAGCGCTTTGGTCATTAAATCCGTTATATTTAAGATCGATCTACTTCGAATAGATGCTGACTATTAGAGTTTGCTGAGCTTTTATAGTCGTCCACCTACAAAGTTATATAAAAGTATCTTTTAACAAGGTGTTACTTTCGTTGATCAAAGAATTTGATATTATGACACTTGCAATGAAATAATTATACATGGAATTTCAATCTATATCATGTTCTGCTTTTAGAAAGACATAACATACCACCTTTTGGCCTATAAAACGATGATTGTTGTAAGTTTTTTTTTCATTTGTGCGACATTGATTCTTTTCTATAATTACAAAGAATAATTGGAATTATACATGCATATATATATCATATAAAATAGATCATGCTAGGTATGATATAAGGTTATTCATGCCACTCATATACAATATTGGAGTCTTCAAGATCGTATAAGAAAAAGAACAACGAGCAAGAATAGACTGTATTTGAGTATATAGTCATGTTTCCTAACGTCATAAATAGCTATCAATGCTAGACAGAAAAAATATATTCATCTCGTGTGGGTATTGATGAGTGTGGCTGTTGCTGTGAACTGATATGTCCTTTTCTTTCACATCCCACACTCATGTCTTCTCGTGCGTGTATGAAGTTTTACTTCTCGCTATGGCTCCACCAAGGTGTTTCCTAATCGTGCACACAAATTGAACAAAAAAGAAACAACCATTCAATTAGTCCTGTTTATTTAATACGACGTGAAGAAAAAAACGCAATGCCATTAATAATTCTTTTCCATAGGAAAACACTGGACACGATGATTATTACAGTCGACGACATAGAGACTGCCATGACGATCAAAAAGCAAACCTATCGATCCATATAGTTGATTCGACTATGCTCTTTGTCCATTCCCATCGACAGTGGAAACTCCCTGTGTAGTTCCGTTTGACCAAAACATTGTTCAATCCTTCTCTACATCAGTCACACAGACAGTATCGAGTTGGTCGACAACGATTACTTGAGGACCTGGCTATTGATCGAGTCTATTTCCCTTTCCGTCACCACTGGCCAGGGACGACACGAAGTAATGAGAGCAGAGAGAAAAGGATTCTTGAAAATGGAAGAAAATTCAAAAAACCTATAAAATGCTAGATATTCAGTCTAAACTGTTAAAATATAAGGAATTAAAATAATAATATTTTTGATTCGTTCATGTATTTAAAAAAAATATTGTGAAAGGTAAAAAAACAAATATAGATTAGATAAACTATCTTCAGGATGGGTGTTGTTGAGCGTCTAGACGTAAGTGTGCATGCCGGTGCGCTAGTGTGGGTGTGGATATGGGGGGCTGTGGGCGTCGAAGTACATTCTTTCTCTTCAGTCACAGCCACAGCCATACCCACACCCGAATTCGAACGAAATATAAAATTTTGCAAACATTCTCAAGTGTTGCAGAATTTTTTCCCAGGACTATCATTGTTTTATACCTCATCAAACATATGTCAATAATAAAATACAAATAGGCATGGAAAGAAATTCTAATCTTGCATTTCAACTATTTTATAAGCGATATTTGCAATTTTGTTAAAGAAAGTTATGCATTCCATAATGCTAGGAAGATCTTGTGCATTTTCCATAAACTATTGAAAATATTTTGTTTTCTGCATATACCTAACTCTTGATAAAACTTAGATAAATATAGAAATAGATCTTTATAATTTTAATAGCAAGATGAGATACAATATTATTTATTTACTTTCTTAGAAACTCTTGAAAGTAACACACATCTTCTCTGCTTTTCTAGAACTTATGTATCTAATCTAAATGACACATTCTTCCTAATTTCTAGGTATTATTGGGATAAGATCTAGACTTTATAAGTTTCGAGAAACTATCAACATAGGAGGTACTTGAATAGATAATTTCTTCTGTAGTAAATTATGTTTTTGTGACAAAGCACTAAGAAAATTTATTCGAAACATACATATTATTCTTATTTTGACGAAACGTCAGAGGTACAAATTTGAAATCCCGATTTACTATGTGTTCTACTAAGTTTATTCTCGATATTAGTTTTAATAAACATCTCCTTGACTAAATTCAAAATCAAACTTTTGAGTCATTTGACTTTTCTCATTTTATTTACATCTTTAAATAAATTTACGGTTTCTAGATAGAGTCCTTAATATAGAAAAAATAGAGTTGCATAGTGATGAGCCAACATGAAATAATAGACTGAGAAATACAGACATGATTGATCGATACTACATCACATTATAAAAGAAAAGTAAATTCTTCTAGTGTGACTATTTTCTCAAATTAGTCTCACTATGGGATCTAGTGTATTGATGCTTTTATATGTCTTAGTATTGTATAGTAGTCTTTTCAAAATCGATATCTATTTTATTAATCCTACAGCAAAACAATGGACTTTAGATGTGTCAATAGAAAACAGGCTTCTCTCTTAGAAAAATAATTTTCTTTTATTTTATTGCTGCTTCTCTAACTGTGCTTCCCCGGCAGCCAAAATAAATACAACAGTTCTCTAAATAAAAAATAACACCGGTTGTATATTTATCTTTCTGCGTCACGCTTATTGACTACGATGAAATAGCAAAACTAAAAAGAAACAATTTTATCTTCCTGTGTCACGCTTACAGCATTACGATAAACAAGCAAAAAAAATTGGAGGGGGGAGGGGAAGAAACATTCATAAGATGAATACAAGAAGGATCAAAATTATTCACGTTAGAAGAAAGCAATGTGCACGTATATATAAACTACTCACCTTTAAAGTGACGTTGCATTTCTTTTTACAACTGCGAAAATAAAATATTTTATATTAGCGTATAGTATTACTACGTCTATATACGTAACCATGGCATGTTTTAGAAATGCGTTTTCGAGTATTTTGTGTGGTAAGTGACATTCGAATGGGACTATTGATCGGATCATATTTTTTCTTCTAATCAAAGGACACAAGAAGCAGACTAAAGATGAATACTGTGTCATTCGTTGGTTGGATGATGATAACTTAGAGGTTGTCGCTCAGAAATATATTGAAGCATCATCTGATGTGATTAAAACCTTTCAAGTGTACACTATTAGCAGTAATGGTAAAAAACGTCGAGGAACTGTCATCTCGAAAGGTATGATGAGTTTTAGTGCATATTTAAAGTTGTCTAAAAAAAAAGACTTTCTCTAGGAACAAAACAAGACTGTGAAATGCTGCATGACAATGTCACTCCCAGAATTTTGATGAAAGAAGCCGTAGGAGCAAAGAAGAGTAAGATAATATGCTATGTATGTCTTATGAAGTAACTTCTCTTTTATCAACAGACCTATCACCATCAACGATAATGAATAATGACAAAATCTTGTGCACTAATACATCAACTAACTCCGAAGGTCAGTCTGGTATGACCATTCTATTTTAGTAGATCAATTTTGAGAAAAAGATTCACATGTTTAAAATAATCGACTTCTAGGTGAGGAAGATGAGAAATCTTCTGATGCTGCTCGAATGGCCGTAATGCTGCAAACCTTACAATTACTTGTTCAGGGAGTAAAAAATGGTAATGATGATGACGACGGCAATGAAGTGCACAATCTTACATGTGACGTATGTGGGAATACTTCAATACGCGGCGATTGTTACAAATGTTTGCAATGTGATAATTTTGATCTATGTGCTGGATGTTTTGAGCGTCGTATTGAATCTAAGCAACATAAAAGTGGACATTTACTTGTTCACTTTCGTATACCAAACGAACTCTTCGGTCGAACTGTAACTTATGACGAAATTACCTTTGCGAAACTCAAACAATTCTATGCCAAAGAAGTAAACGAGTCGATCACCTGTGATGGATGTATGAAATCAAACTTTGTTGGATTACGTTTCAAATGTGATACGTGTCCAAATTATGACTTGTGTGAAAAATGTTCCATTACATACGTCACGACAAAAGATCATAGGTTAATGCATCCACTGATTCTGACTTCTCATCGGGTAATCGTACAGATACCTGTGAATGACATTGAACTAGGTGAAGAATTAGGAAGTGGTGCTTTCGGTAAGTGCTATTCATTTTTTCACCATTTTGACATTTGAATTTTTTCAAGGTGCTGTTCACAAGGCACGATGGATATCGAAAAATCGCGAGGTGGCATGCAAAATAATTTTTGCGCCTGATACCAACCAGATCTTTGCTCTGGAAAAAAGTTTTTTCAAAGAACTATCTGCTTATACAGAACTGTCAGGTGGTTACATTCTTCAAACATATGGATATGCCATGACTCGACAGAATAACAAAAGAATTTACATGATCATTACGGAATATATGGCACGTGGCAGTCTAGCAAATGTACTCAAGGAAAAAGGTAAAATCTCTCTACGTCGCAAAGTTCACATGGCTAGACAGATTGCCAGTGGAATGCGAAAGATTCATGATCATCACATGATTCATCGAGATATTCGACCGGATAACATTTTGGTTAATCAACAATATACTTGTAAAATCGGTGACATGGGTATTGCACGCGTTACAGATCCACAGAATCGACATACGCAGATTGGTTGTCAGCCCTTTATGCCACCAGAATTTTACGAGGGCACTTATGATCAAAATTTGGATATTTTCACATTTGGCTTAACTTTAAATGAACTTTTTACTGAAACCCAGCATGTTTTTCGACAAAGAGTCACAGAGAAAATTGTTTTCAAGGAAGAGAGTCCGATCTTTCGAGATCTTATTACTCGATGCACAGCCGATGATCCGAAACATCGACCAACAGCGACTGAGATTGAAAAGACTCTGGAACTGTACACTCATGGGTTCGACATGATCGTTCTGAAGAAACAAGCGAATTACGTTCGTTTATCTACTGAACAAAAGGATCAAGTTTTCATCGATTTCTACGAACAATTTCATAAATCAGCAACAGAGTTTATTCGAAAGAAATTTCCAGTAGAATTTTTACAAGGACCAAAATTTGTAGCTGGCGTGAAAGTTAAACGCGATGTCGAGAATGATCAACAAGTTGATTGCCATGTGCAATAGAATAAAATGACTTTGAATGATGTTGGTCGATATCTATCTCGTTTTACATTCTCAAAGAAAAAGTAATTTAGGATGTGGGTGTGGGTGGGTGTGGGTGTGGGTGGGTGTGGGTGTTGGTGTGTGTGGGTGTGGGTGCGTGTGGGTGTGGGTGAGTGGGTGTGGGTGTGTGGGTGTGGGTGTGTGGGTGTGGGTGTGGGTGTGGGTGTGGGTGTGGATGTGTGGGTGGGTAGGTGTGGGCGTGGGGTGTGGGTGTGGGTGTGGGTGTGATGTTATCTTTTCGTATGTCTGCACTCACACTCACACTCACACTCACACTCCACACCCACACCCTTGCTGGGCTCATCAGTTATCGGGCCGCACTTCTGTTTCCGATAGTTTCTATTGGATCATTAAAATGTATAGATGACACATAATCGGCTTATTATTCAATGAGAACTACGATGTATCAATAAATACGACTTTGAAATAAAAATAAATCTATTCCCTACTTGAGATACTAAAAAGCAATAATTAAATTCATTAAAAAATTAAGTTTGTTTCAGTGAAAAGAGGATATCAAGACTAAATAATAGGTTTATGAAGATGAATTCTTTATTTTCAAAAATAATGGTAAATTTGATTAGCTTCTTTTGTTAATTATATATACGTTTTAGTTTGTCTTTGAACAATAGACCAAAAACAAGTATTTTCTAGTATTATAACAAGTAAGAACGATTAAAATATTGTGTGTAAGCTTGTAACATATGAAGAAAATTGAACGGAAAAACATGCGACTCATCGTGAGACAATTCATTGTATCATAAAAAACCGTTGTGAGAATGTTTCAACCCCTTTTTGTAATAGAAGATTCTGAATTCCTTTTTACATTTAAGTGGACCACGTCTCAAGAAGCACTTCTATTGTGATCAATCAATAAAATTTTAAAAACTAATAGGCATATTTTTCTGTGTAGATTTTCTATTTAAAGCTCCAATCTTTGAAGAAATGAATCTATTAATGAAGAAGAAAGAGGAATGATTTGATCGTCTTGAAGTATGAGCAGCTGACCATCTGTAGAGTTAGTCTCTTTAAATCTTTCGAAGAACTAATACTCATCATAGCTTTAGATAGAAGACTAGCCTCTCAGTCATATCAATCATGATTAAATAGTCTATTTCTATACTTTTGTGAACGAAAAATAAAAACTATTGCAAAATTTTTGACATTGACTATGATTCTTTTTCATAAATCATCACAAAATAATTTATGTTCCATTCTTATATATGTTGTAATTTGCCAAAACCATTTTTTTCTTCTTTCCTTCTTGTTCGTGGTTTTGATTCGACTTGAATCTCACGACGCATATTTTCTAGTAAGAGCATATTATTAATTTCGATTTCATGCTGAAGTTTTTTTTGTTCGTCATTAATTACATGACAATTCGAAATGATATATACTATTTTTTTAATCGTTTATAATACAATTATAATTGCATCAAATTAAGCTATATTTATTTGTTTCGATGGGTGTTATTAATTCATAATGTTGATTTATAGTAAATATATAACTACCATTCATTCATACGAATAAAAGATACACAGTTATGAATTGATTTTCGTATAATTCAAAGTATTTTATCACAATTCAATGTATAAATTTACTTCTTGCTCTGGAACACAATCTATATAGAAACTTAACTAGAAAATATCTTTTTCAAGCTTTTGATATTATCGGCATCGTTGTGTTTTCTCGAATTAACACAAAACCACAAGGTAAATATATAGAAGCACGTTATCATTGCTATGATAATACCTATTTCTATAATATGGATGAGTGGTTTATGTAGAAGTAAACAAAAAGTATTGACGTCAAAGCCTTTTGATTTTTGCCTAGGCAATAATTAACAACGTAATTTTCGTCATGAGTACTTCTTAAAAATCGATTCAATCATCAATTACATAGATCAAAATTAAGCATTCACCTCTCATAAAAATTTATTTTATTTTTTTATTTTTTCCATTAATGATTATGATTGATGCTATCACAATTTAATCATGACGCTCTATCTAGTTGGTTAATGTGCCAATTAACTATTTGAATATTTATTGTCAGATTTGTGATAAGGTATTAGTAACCATTTTTTTGACAGGTAGTCAAACGTACTAGAGAAAATATTGAAGATTATTACACTACTATTAGCATACATGCGCATATAAAATCGTATAAATGCTTTAGAAATAATTGACAATTTTTTATTGATCGATTTTGTGCCTACTAGATTTTGATCATGATGCAAAAATTATAATGCTAATGGAATCAAATTAAAAATACATACTTTTTAAATTTAGTTGTGATCGTACTGAATAAACAATTTATTAGTAATAACTATTTTATAAATGATTTTTTTTTATACCAAAGTTCGAATTAGTGTCAATGCTTATTCTATGCATTAAAAGTATCATTAAATTCTTTATCTGATATTATAAGAATTAGCAGTCTATCGAGTAAATTTGATTTATTCATATTGTATTCACAATTACTATCAGGAACTAGTATAGAACTTTTATTTTTCCGAACGAAATCATTTGAAATTATTCTCATGTGGTGGATGTACGACAAATTTAGGCTTGGTGATTATTTTAACCTCTGTATTGAGTAAATATATAGTGAGATACTTATCTTGACATACCCATTATATTTTCATTGCGAAACTTGAACTTAAGCATTAAACAAAATATAAAGCAATGATAAATTTAAAAAAAACAACATTGAAGAAAAAATTGATGGTGAACGTTTTTTTTTCGTAAGATATCAACATGAAATCATCAAAATATCTCTACTTAGTCAGAAATGAGTTTATTTAATGGAAAAAGCGCTAATGAACTCTGATAAGTTCTTTTATGTATACAATTTTTTGACCTAAGATAGTTACTTTACGTGTTTTCAGCCATGTAAAACATTGATAAACAGCTAAGTAGATTTCCATGTTGAGTAAAACTTAAACTGCTGAATTGAAAATAAAATGAAATAGTTCAATGGAATGTTAAGTTTCTTTCATTGTTCTGATACGAAAATCGAAACTAACAATGGAAGTTCAGGTAGAGTAAGATAGTTCATTTGACTTGAATATGTTTAATCTACTTAGGAGCCACTGCACGAGAAGGACAACCGATTTTCCAATATAGGTGCTCAATCGATAATCGCATATCGAGATGTGATTAGCCCATCTTGTAGAGGACATTTTTTTAGGCATAAATCCAAATTTTTAGCCCTAAAGCTTGAATTTTGGCTGAGATACAAAATACCGACTAAAAAGCTTCAAAATGCCTTTTTATCTTTTTTGGGTGGCCGGCAACCATCAGTATTATTACAATATCTCTTCAGCAGAATGTGATAGAGGCCTGAAATTTTTACCAGAGATAGATCTCAACATGGGGAACATAACCAGGCTATGTAATAAGAGATATGTTATTAAAAAGTATTATCCCCATTTCTAACCCTAGTCTCAATATAGGCCCAAAAGGGTCCATCTTGTGAAATCGATTTCTCCTGATCAGTTCAATCGATTTTGCTCAAACTTTTTTTTCAAAGACTACTATCCTAGTACTACATGCCAATGCGATTAAAAATTTGGGATCTTGAAATTTGCCCAAAAAATGATGAATCTGAAAATACTGATATTTCTCTGGTATCATAGAGCAGGTGGGACCCATGTGATTCTGAGAAAATCCAGAAAGTAAAGATCGTTTGACCTGAAACTTTCAGCAATTATAGAGATCAATAATAGTAATAAGTTCTACAATTTTCAGCCTAATCGGTAAACATTTGCCTTTATTTCGATAATTCGCTCTTTAGTCATTATCAATGGTCTCAAAGTTCACTATATGAAAAAGAATGATTTCACAAATTTTTGAGCAATTCTTATGCAATTGATTATCAATTAATATATTATTCGATAAGAAATTTTCCACTGAACTAAACCCTATAAATAACTTTCCTTCGAAATCTTAAACAAATCATTGAAAGTTTAAATATATCCTATACTAGGCATTGTACATTGAAATCATTACATGATGGTCACATTATAATATGATGAATCGAAAGATGTAATGTAATTATAACTGAATGTTATAATATTGCAGAAAGGAAGTTGTGTTTAGATAAAAAATCAAATTTTCACATTTAAAAATAGAGTATTTAATGAGAAATCATGATGTCTTCCAAGACAATAGTCAAATATTTTTGTTAAATTTTTTATGAGTTTTTTCATTCTTTCATATAACTTGTTTTCACAGTATTCTATTATTGATGACTGATGAATATCTAAACTTTTTGCACATTTCAAGCTTCAACTGAAGAATATATAAGTAGTGCACCGAATAAGGTCATTAGTATCTTGATATGATCTTGAAAGTGAATTAAATGGCTATTGTCCTCTTTATAACAGATTTAGCATTGCCACGTAACTTATACTGTGCCAATATGTTTATAAATCTACTATAGAAACTTTTTCTATTTATCGATAACGTTTTGTCCGCCAATGTGTATCGAGTCTTAGAGGCAAATATTTTGTCACTGGATTATATATACTCAGAAAAGGAAATAGTATACATGTCGTTTCACATCATTCTGACAATGAATAATATATTAATTGATAATAAATTGCATAAGAACTGTTCAATAATTTGTGAAATCATTCTTTTTCATATAGTGAACTTTGAGACTATTGATAATGACTAAAGAGCGAATTATCGAAATAAAGGCAAATGTTTACTGATCAGGCTGAAAATTGTAGAACTTATTACTATTATTGACCTCTATAATTGCTGAAAGTTTCAGGCCAAACGGTCTTTGCTTTCTGAATTTTCTCAAAACCACACGGGTCCCACTTGCTCTATGATACCAGAGAAATATCAGTATTTTGAGGTTCATCATTTTTAGGGCAAATTTCAAGATCCCAAATTTCTGATCACATTGGCATGTAGTACTAGGATAGTAGTCTTTGCAAAAGAAGTTTGAGCAAAATCGATTGAACTGATCAGGAGAAATCGAATTCACAAGATGGACCCCTTTTGGGCCTATATTGAGACTAGGGTTAGAAATGGGGATAATACTTTTTCACAACATATCTCTTATTAAATAGACTGATTATGTTCCCCATGGTGAGCTCTATCTCTGGTAAAAATTTCAGGTCTCTATCACATTCTGGTGAAGAGTTATTGTAAAAATACTGATGGTTGCCGACCACCCAAAAAAATCAAAAATTGATAAAAAGGCATTTTGAAGCTTTTTAGTCGGTATTTTGTATCTCAGCCAAAATTCAAGCTTTAGGGCTAAAAATTTGGATTTATGCCTAAAAAAATGTCCTCTACAAGATGGGCTAATCACATCTCGATATGCGATTATCGATTGAGCAGCTCTGGTCGTGGTTCTCGTGCAGTGGCTCTTAGGGTGTGGGGTGTGGGTGTGGGTGGGGTGTGGGTGTGGGTGGGTGGGGTGGGTGTGGCTGTGGCAGTGGCTGTGGCTGTGGCAGTGGCTGTGGCTGTGGCTGTGGCTGTGGTGTAGGTCTAGAATAAGAAAAGATATACACACACTCACACGCCCCACACCCACACCCACACCCACTCACACGCCCCACACCCACTCACACGCCCCACACCCGCACCCACACCCACCCACACCCATCCACACTTCACACCCACAGCCACGCCCTTAAAAAAAGAAGTGAAAGTATCGACACCGAACTCGTAACACGTTTTTCAAAATCATCTTTGCGATCTTCCGTACTCTCACAAATCGAGTTCCAAAAACAGGATTTTGAACAAATTTAGCTTTAAAATAATTAAAACGGAAGCATCAAGAAAAGTAAGGAGCCAATTTCTCTTTTCTTCTGTGTAGCACAGCTGCGAATACAGCTGATCGTAGATAATGAATCATCCAGATAATTAAACGATCAATCGAAATCGTCCTTCAGAAAAGTGTTCATAGGCTTTGATAGAGTTCTCTTCGCAATGAATTTTATTATGGCACTTTTTAATTTTCTCACTACTTATATCAGCTGACTCGTGAAAAAATAATTTTTCGAATTCGAATGATACAGAGAAGTGTCTATGTGCACTAATCCGTCCAGAAACCAACCAGAAATAACGATTTCTATTAACTCGACAATCGAATTTCCATTTTCTACGAAATATCATTTTTTCGAAAATTCAAGAGATTCGTGCTTCGCACCGCATTTCCTATTCGAGTCGAAACTCGAATACCATCTAGTTAACATAAGTTTTCATGGGTAAAAAGTTCGCTGATTAATTTCAAAGAGGCACATCGATTATTATTTTTAGTTATCCTATTAATTTCATTAAACAATTAACATTGTTTTATTCCGGTAACACTTATGAAACTTCATGCAGTTGATAGTGCGCTCGGCCTTGTGTAGAGAAGAGGAATGTCACTGAACCAAATCGATGCTTTGCTTTTATTTATTACCTAAGTAAAGCTATGAAAACGTTTGTATAACAAAGATACTTGATTGTTATCAAAAATGAAATGCAAATCTCATGTAAGAAGTTTTGACGAAAAATCAATATGAAGTCGATTGAAACGACATTATTTGATTGTGATGGAAGTCTGACTTTTCAGCTCTAAAGATAGATTTCAATTGATTTTAGTCTGTTTTGATCGATAAATAAAGTTTTATTAATTGAAATCATTTTTCTAAAAATCGATCAAGAAATATTAAAGCCAAAGAAAACCTATCTTTAAAGTTCGAAAAAAATCAGACATTTGTTGGATTCAGCTAATACCATTTGAATCAATTTTGAGTTGAAAAAGAATTTTGATAAAAATCAGATTTTCTGTTGTCGTAGGTTAAAGTCTTCCTTGAAAAAAGAAATAAAGTTCCTATCGGGCGATCCATTTCAAGCCTTGGTAACAAGCACTACTCAATATTTAGTCAGTGCTTTTGTTGACTTCATTTTATTGACACAAAATATTAAATATAATCTTAGTGTTATTATCTATCTGAGCCGCTTCTACATGATTAACCTTTACTCTCATCTTCAATATTTTTCTGTGAGATATTGACACGTTATATATAGAAAAATAACGTACATCTTCTATCAACATCTTTACAGTTTTACCATCGCATATATAAACGACTGATAAATAGAACAACTTGATGGTGACATTTATGATTTAAACAAGATACAGTTTTTTAACAGATTATTGAAATTCGAAGCATTAATGCTGCTTTCATTCTAATATATATTTCTACGATTTATTTATTCAATAGAATAAAATTAGAGATCTGTACTATGATTCCATTTTAATATTACATGCGACCAAGATACTTGTAGCATCTGTCCAAGAAATATCAAATTGACTATGTATTCAATAAGCCTTTATAGATATATGGTGTTGAGCTAATGAGAGAAAAAATTTTTTTCTGTGATTTTGTTATTGATATCAGTCCATTGTAAGAGTTAATAAAAAGAAGACAATCGCAGTTTGTATATTTTAATTACATTCTAAAAAATTGAGATGCTAACGCGAGACTTTTCAAGTGTCTATTCTTCATTTTTTTTTGCTTGAACGTCTAAAATTGGTTATCTTTTGACACTTGGCACCTCATGCGTCTCAATTAGACGTGTCAAATGTCAATGAATAAACAATTTTAGATGTTTCAGCAAAATAAATGCAGAATAGACACTTGGAGTGTCTTGTAAGATGCATGGCACTTTTTAGAGAAACGTTTTATCATTAGAAACTGTATTATTCGTCTTTTTCATCATTGTCATCTTCCTCTTCTTTTTCTTCTTCCTCTTCAATTACACCATCATCGCCTGTTTCTTCGTCATCATCATCTTGATAATCAATTGAATCATCATCGTCCCAATGTTCACGACCCATATCATCAGTTTCCAATTGACGAACAGTCCATGGTTCGGAACATAAATCCGGATCAGTCATGTAAGAATATGGAATATAACAATATCCTTCATTACCCTAACATAAACGAAATGTAAATATTTCTTTAAAAGATATGTGTGTTTACCCATTCTTCACCCCATGAATTTCGAACAATAAATACTTGTGCATAATCACTATAACCTACAGCTAACATTGCATGACTATAATAATAAAATAAACAAATGAGTTTGTAATTTGTAATTCAAAGAAAGTCAAACGTTCCATGCGATTCTCGACTTGTTTCTCCTAATTTTGGCATTGGCACAATACCTTTTCTAGCTGCTTGATCAAATGATTTATATAGTTCTAAGCCAAATACAAAAGGATAACCTTGCGCAAGACAGGATTTCATTTCATATAAATTTATTTTAACTTGTAATGCATCAATTATTCTATTATTTTCTGCTGCGGCATATGCTTCATCACTAGGGCATTTATTTACACGTTTTTCATAGTATGGCCAAATTGATTCAAGACAAGTACCAAATTCTTCTAATGCTTCAATAGCAGCTGTTACAGTACAACCTGAATCGCTGATATTTTCATCTGATTCTTCATCTTTAACACGAGCATTGTAATAAATAAATAATCGACTTACATCAGTAACACAACCACTGGATTTCTTTAGCAGATATTCATAAGCTCCTATAACCAAGTATCAATGAAATCAAAAACAAAACAAAACATCATATTTACCAGCAAAAGCATTTGCTACACTAAATAAATAGAAATTTCATATATATATGGTGGTTAAAAATCATAGAAATTCTTTTATACATACCAAGAACCAATATCTGATTGATCTTCAATAGCTGTCATGTCATGACGAAGATTAGCTTTACGTGGAAGTTCTGAAGCACTGAGCTGTATATAATTAGAAAACTGTTTCTGTAATGTAGCTTTATGAGGCATACGTTGTGATGGTCGCATACCATTAAGACGACATTTTCGTCTAGCAGTTTGATTAGTTAAATAATGTCGACTGGGCATCAAGAAATTTTGTATAATCACGCAAGAAAATAGCTAGAATATTTACTTTCCTACAGGTAAATTAGCAACATAATACAAACATGTTTTTTTTTCGTCAATTACACAAAGTAATTATTGGTTACACGTATCGATTCACTAATGAATGAGTAGACGCCCATGAAACACTTTTTTTTTCTTGTTTGCTTTTATTGATCAAAATATTAGTAATATGAATGTGATCGAACCTTGAATGTATATAAAAATGTGATGAAAATATGCCGTAAGGAAAAACATTGCTAATGAATTGGGGTGAACCTAGAAAAATCAACTCATAGTTGTCTTTCCAAAAAACTTTCTTTCATCGACTGCACCTAACCTAGCTAATTAGGAACTATAGTAAGGAAATATTTAATACGATTGATGTATATTAAAAAAAAAACACATTTTTGACTACTGCAGCCGAAACTAAAAAGTCGAGGGTAAAAATATCGAAAGTATATATGTGCAAAACTGACATCAGTACTTTTGAATATTTTCTTTTTGAGAATATTAAAAAAAATGATTCAAATAAATATGAATCAAACGTTTAGCATTGAAAAAAAGTGAAAGTGAAGCAACATCGACTTTTATTTATTTCGAGGAACATCTCTACGTATCATAACTTAGAGAGCAATGTGATACTGTTGTACTTTAAAGTTCGTTAAAGTACCATAAAGTACGTAAAGTATGAAGTATCATGTTTTCTCTTAGGGCAAATCGCTTTTCAATAGAGACAATGTTCATTTGATGAGTTCTATTGAATAATAGAAAAGTCTAGAATGGTTTAATTTTCTCGACCTTTCTCCTTGAGATATTGATATTTGCCAGAGGTTTTTAATAAAAGGGTGTGACCACGTGTAAAATCGGCTTTCGAGTTTTGACTTCAAACTTTGCATGAAAATACGTTTTTAAAGAAAATAGTTAGTTATGCCAGTTTTAGTCTTTTTCGTGTTTCCTTTCTGGAGATATAAATATATGAACAAAATTTGCTTTTACACATTAGAGAATTTCGAATATTGAATATATCACAATAGAAGATACTAGAAAAGTTACAACTTATTCAATGAACTAATCTCATTGAAAACTTTATCCGTGCAAAGGCTTGAAGTCGAAAGCCAATTTTTCATATAAACACAGCTTTTGGTTGAAAAAACGTAGAAAAAATTCAGATATCACAAGAATAAAGGCTCGTAAAACCAAACCATTTTAAATTTTTCTATTATTCATCAAATGAATATCGCCTTAGTCAAAAAGAGATTGAACACCTGAAGAGATTCCCTCTTTAGTTTATCAAAGTTAGATAAAGTTTCTATTGAATAATCATAACTTTTTCGCCTCAACTGATGGCAAATCATTACGCAGATCAGATGGTGTGATTTGACTTGGATAAAAAAAAAATATATACAAAAGCAGTTTTTCAAATTTTTATTTTCATCTACTGTACAACTTTTATCACACATATACAAAAATAAATCTCTTTTTTTAATTTTTACAAATTTCATAGTATAGTTTCATCAACAACAAGACAACGAAAATAGTTCATCTGATCAACGGATTACAACAAAACAAAAAAGAAAAACTAAAACCTATCGGATAACCTTTGTACCTATTTATCTAACACGAATAAGAACTTTACGTTGCATACGATATTGAACATCACCACGACGTACCATTGCATGAAGAACTTTATAAATAGCACGTTCAGAATAATTCTAAAAAGTTTTTCAAAATAATAAATTGATTGATTTAAGTTTAATTCTACTTGTTGAATAAAATCTTGAACAATAGCATATTCAGATACTTGTGAACCAATAACAAATCGACGTCGAATTTGTTTTTCAATACGTGCAATTTCTTTTTGATCTTCGGGTGTTGTAAAACCTTCAATACCTAATCATTTAAAAGGAAAATTAAAATTGTATTTAACTTTTTGTTTTGAAAATATACCAGCTAAATTTCCAGAACCAGCTGATGAAAGAGTCGAAACATGAAATAATCGAAGAGCTTCATCAACATCACCTTCATCAGCAAATGGTGCTAAACGCATTTTTGCCAAACTTTCAGCAATACGGATTAATGCTTCAAGTTGTCTGAACAGTAAAAATATAATTATTATCGAAAACGAAAATAAACTCTTACCGGACTGTAATTGGAATAGCTGTTTTTTTGCCAATTTCACGTTCATAAATACTTGTACCATTACGCATAACAACATATTGATTTCGTAATTTTTCAGAAGCACTTTCCGATAAACGAGGTCCACATTTACTAATCAAAACAAGTTTTATTTCATTAAACTTCTAAAATGAATCAACAAAAAAACAATTACCTTCGACAATAAGCAATATATTTTTTTAATTTTTGTATACTCATATCACCAGTATTATCATCTGTATTTAAAATATTCATATGAATTTTAATAACATGTTTAGCCAATGTCTACAATGAGAAATTAAATCAAAATTATAATATCTGTTTGAAGTTCTAAACTGACAACTTCTTTGTTATACTGCTCGGTGAAGAAATACGAATTGTTTTTGGGTCGAACGAATAGTAGAAACTTGAAAGGACGAGTCCAATGATTGAATCCTATAGCTGGGTTTGTGTTTCCTAGTTTCTACGATCTTTCTCAGGTTTATGGCAGGAAACAGTGTGTATGTCTTGATCTGATTTGCTGCTAGAGGTAGGCTACCTACGCAGAAGGCTCATGTCTTCTTTTTGAGTACTTAATCTTGTGATTCATGTCGACTCATAGTCTAATTACGTTCTCATGAAAAGTGTTCTTCGTCAGTGAATAAAATTATCTTCAATCAAAATAATATATAATAGGGAACTTTTGCCTATTCTTATAACAAAAAGTACATATAATAAGCTTGTGTGTCTATATCTTATGGTGTATTTTTTTTAAACTGTATTATGCAATGCTAAAAAGTAGCTATTTATTAGGACGCATTCGTTGCTTGAAGACCATTCCATGCACAGATTAATCTTGACAAACAATTGATTTCTAAGACATTATTTTACACATACCGTATCTCGTTTTTCATCATGTTCATCTTTAATAATAAAAATCATATCAAAACGTGAAAGAATAGTTGGCATAAAATCTAAATTATCATCGCCTTTTAAATCATCCCATCGACCATATATTGAATTAGCTGCTGCTAATACACTACATCGTGAATTTAATGTTGTTGTAATACCGGCCTATAATAAAATTCTTTATTGTATATTCAATGTTTTCTTTTTCTTTTTTGTTTTTTTGTTACTTTAGCAATAGAAATTGTTTGTTGTTCCATTGCTTCGTGAATAGCAACACGATCATCTTCACGCATTTTATCAAATTCATCAATACAAACAACACCACCATCAGCTAATACCATAGCACCACCTAAACTTTCATCATATATATATAGTATAGAAGTTATTTCAACTCCACTAAACACTAAATAAATATCAATTAATTGATGATTTTCAAAACACTAATATCTTTTCTTTACGAATAAACTAAGAAATGATTCCAAAAAATCATACATTACTTTTTATTAATACCTTATATGATTATGGATCTTTACTGATGATTAGAACTCGTCGGGTTCAAAATCTTCGGACCCGAGTCCACATCTGTAGACAACCCGGCAGGTTCAACTGAAGACACTAAAGTATGTAATTAATAATAAGAGATCTCTGGAATCACACATAACCATAAAGTTAGAAGAAGTCTTCTAAAATATTTTATTCTGGAATGTTTTCCAATTTTTTTTTATTAAGATGAAGGCAAAACCATGGCGAAAAAAGACTAGCTCTAGGATGCAGAGTGTTTCCTCCTGGCTGTAGCTGGCTACCAGTGTGGTAAAATATATTACATGCTACAAACGATAAATCTGAGTATTTGAATATTAACAATAAAGCTCAGAAAATAAAACTTTATAACATCTTGCCGATAGCGTGCTTAGGTTGCAAGGTATATTTCCTGCTTCATTTATGACTCAGAAAAATCGAAATTGAGATGAAAACATCGGAAGATGATCCGTTGTCTGATCTTTCATAAATGATATGACTTTTTTTTATTGGGCATCTGATTTTATGCAAAACTTTTCGCTGATTTTCGCCATTCTTTGCTTGAAAAATATAACTGTTTTTCAGAAAAAGCAGGAACTCTTCTTCGTTATTTCTTCGTTTATATTTCTGGATTGTACATGCCAGAACTTTTAAAGAAGCTCTATTGTAGATAATTGCTTTTTTTTTGTTTGAAAGAGCATATAAAGGTGTAGTGCCTATTTTTTGAATTGAACATTATTATTATTGTATAAAAAAAATCACTTTCCTCAATAGATGACCATATTTTTGAGAATTTTTCGAGGTATCGAGCTTGTCATCTTTTTTTTTGCATAAAAAGTAAGAATTAAAAACAAAAGCGCTACATTCAGACATACCATTTCAAATAAAACGAAAATTCATTCCAGAGAATGAGAGCCTACAGAGAATTTCTGAATGCAAAATGAGAGATTTTATACTCTTGCTTAATGAATATCTTCTGAAAATGATATGATATAGAAGTGAAAATTTTACCATAGCCTCATTACTACAGGTTCCAAGCAAATACGGTCTAGCGACTACTTATAATATAATTCGCTTGAATCCATAGAATATTTATCTATAACCTTTAATTTCGGTTGAGAAAACTTTTTTCTTGTATTCCAAGAACTAAAACTGATTCCGTATATATTTAGCTGTAACATATTCTGAAAATTTGAATATACCTAGTTCAGAAAAAAATAAATATAAATACTTTTAAAATGAAAACTTAACTATAAGTATATATAACTTCGATATGACACATATATGAAACAAAATCAATTTAATTCTTTTTTACCTTCAATAACAAAATTTTTCGAATTTGGATCTCGAATAACGCTTGCCGTAAGACCAGCTGCACTACTACCTTTACCACTTGTATAAACTCCAATTGGTGCAACTTTTTCAATAAATTTTAATAATTGAGATTTAGCAGTACCAGGATCACCGACAAGTAAAACGTTAATATCACCACGACGAAATAAACCATCGGGTAAACTAAAACATAAAAAGAAACAGTAAAAAAAAACGCAAACATTTTCTCTTGACTCAACCGTTTTCTTGAACCACCAAAAAGTAAACAAGCAATAGCTTTTTTTATATCATTTGCACCATAAATTGATGGTGCAATACTATTTGAAATAACATCATAAATATTCGATGTATGTGAGAAATGTATAAATTCTTCTTCTTCACTTGTTGTTAATGTTTGAGCTGATGAACGTCCAATACCATTTGTATCAATACGAATACCAAGTACACGTACATATGGTTGACGTGTACCAATATTTAATTTTTCTTTTCCTTGCATCTGTAAACGGAAACAAAAATAAAAGTAAACGATCAACCAAAAAACAAAAATTTTTTATTTACTTTACTCATTGAAACATTTCGTTTAATACAATAAATACCAACAAGTGTGATTTTATTACCTGGCATTGCACGATCAACAAGATTACTTGAAAACACAAAAAAACAAAAGAAACATCTTTTTAATCAATATTTTCTATCTAATGTTACCGATCACAATAAAGTTGAATATGTTTTGGCATTTCACCATGTAGTACAAATTCTGGTGCTTCTTGTAATTTAAGAATTTGAAAATCAATACATTGACATTTATCAGGCATAACAAAATATGGATCAAGTTGACATGATGGTTGACCTGGTTGAGTTCTATAGCAAATAAAAAAGACAACGAATGATAATGATTAAGATGTATATTTTAAACGTTTTGACTTCGAGAAGAAAATCATTATAGAACTAATCATGTCATCAACTTTTTAAACAAACTGTCATCATAATGTCAATAGAACACTTATCAATGCAATTCAGGTCAATATATCCTTGAAAATTATCATAGAAGAACTTCTATGCAAATTTAGGTGTAAGCTTCTTAAAAGATCAGACAGAATTGTAAAATTTAATAAACAAGTTTTTTTTTTTCTTTATTATGACTCGAACAAAGTTTTCAAGGAACGATGGATTTATTTTTGTACGATTTTTAATATTCTACTCGTTTGATTAATCGACTGAGAAGCTTCTCATCTGAATTGAAAAGTTAAGTTGACATATATTTTTTTTAATGTTAACACTGAATATTTTATTTTTAAATAGTTGAAATAGAGTTTATCATCCTTGTCCCTGTTTGAATATTCTAATGCATTATAGTAGATTATTTCAAATCGGATTTTCTGTCGTCTGTGCTTCGTAAGGATGAGACCTGTATATTGATTTGAGAAAAGACAAGTAAAAATTTTCAACGAAAGCTTATGTTGCATATTTTTTCTTCGAACGGCATAGAGCATCTCCATTAAAACTATTAGTGAATTTCTTAATATTCATACTTTCTCATACTTACATACTATTACATTTTCTTGGCAATGCATAACCTTCTAAACCAGGTTTAACTTTAATATTTGAAATAATATTTCGACATGAACGACATTGTATAGCAATATGTGAAGCTTTTGTTCTTATGCTACTTGCTGCAATAACAATACCAACAGTTTTTATCAATTTCGATACATATTCTGACTAAACATTTATATGGAAAAATTACAAAACAAAATTTAGAAAAAAATGACAACAACAAACTTTTAAATGTCGTAGATGCAATGGATGTGCATCATACATTAACATTATTTGTATATCATGCATATCAATTTCATCATCGGGACGTGGACGTGTTATTTCATCAGCTACTTCTTTAGCTGCTTCTTCAAACTATATAGATAGAATTTTTTTTTTCTCTATATTTTTCAACTAAAAAAACAAAAAATCTTTCGTTTACTAATGATAAAAGTTCAGTTGGTTGTTTTTTAAGATGATCACAAAGATTATCATCATAATCACTTAAATGACGTAATTCAATATCAATCCAATATCGTCGACTATTATAATTTCTTCGTAACATTTCACTTGAAAAAAGAAATATAAAAATTTAATAAATTACCTATTTAAAAAAAATTTCAAATAAAATTTTTACCGATAAATAAATAGATTATTTATATGAAATTCTCTAATAAACATTTTAAACTTTTTTTTAATCGATGCTCGATTAAATTCATTCTCATATTCAAAATTATTATCAACAAAATTATCCGAAAAAAATATACCACTATGATCAAATCCAGCCATCTAGAAGCAATGATTTATATTTAGCTATTTGAAATATTTCTTGTTTTTTTAAATATATCTTCTGTTTTCATCTTGCGTGTTTTTGTTTTTTTTCTATAAAAGAATGTTACACACACTCCACTCAATCTTTGTACACACATATAGAAGGAAAAGAAATGAAGAAAAAAAAAACTGTACGAGTGCGTGTATGGTTTAGGTTAATCCAACGCGGTAAATAAGCGATATTGAGAATGCATCTTCTACATATGCAAAAAGACAAGAAAAAAGAAAAAAGAAAATTGTTTATATGAACAGAAACGAAAGTGAAAGAAGACAAACAAAAAAAAACGAAACACTCTTTCGCTTTTCCGAAATAAATAATAAAGTATACAATGTCTTTGTGTCTCGGTTTTTTTTAATTGATTTTTTCTTTCTCTAAATTCTTCGGACACGTTCAGCTTGTACAATAGGCATATTTTTACGAATTTCATTTTGACCATGTTCTTTATAATCAAATGTGCAATCATGTTCATTTGCATAACGATGTATTGGACAAAATTGACCACCACAACGACAATCAAAGCCTATATGAATAGAAAAAACAAGATAATTCAATTTTATGACTAAAGATTCACAGGTCTACTTTTGATTCTAAGATTACAAAAAAAACCTTTTTATCAGTATTTGAACCAAAACAACTCGTCCTTACATATAGAACTTTATTAGATAGAATTAAAGAAAAAGTTACTATGGATTAATGTCATTCTCAAGTGATTCACTACAAAAAAAAAATCAAATAGCTCATTTTTTTAGCCAGGTTGTTTAGAATATCTTAAACGAAATGAGAGAAATTTTTTTTCTTCCAAATCTTATTCGAATAAATAATTCTTACCGGTTAATCCAAGTTTTTTATTACATGATGGCCATGTACATCGATTACGTTTTTTCTTATCAACACTTGATGCTGTTACTGGTGACGCTGAGTCAGCTCCTATGACGAAAGAAAAAACAACAACAAGAAAATAAATCTTTCCAAGCAAAAAGAACGCTACCTAGTGAACCAGTTTCCATAACTGAAAGTGATATATTGGAATCAGTTTTTCCCGGTATATCAATATTTCTTGAAATAATCATTGGCATTGTGGGAGCAGATACAACACGAGTAATAAGACTAGTAGATGAATCATTTATAGATTGATCATTATTTGGTTTCGTTGTTTGTAATTGTTCTTCAATAGCCGAACTTGATTCACTGTTATCATCATCCATTTTATTCACTGTTTGATCAATAATAGGTGTCGGAAGTTCATTATCTTCATCCATATGACCAACAACTTCATCTTGATCATCTCTTATTTGCTGTTCATTATTTGTAGATGTGTTAGGTAGAAGTGTTTGAGATGATGATGTTACAGAAGTATTAGAAGGAGTATTAGAAGAACTATAAAAACCTTTAAAAACACGAAAAACGAATTTTTGTTTTGATTTTTTTCAACAACAAAAAAAAACAAAAAACTTCAACATACTATTACATGAATTCGTTCTTCCAGTGGTTAGTGAACGATTGACATGTTCACGATAGCATTTAGAACACATTCCTTCAAACTGTGATGAACCATAAAAACCACAATTATTTGTACAAAATGTCGGATTCGATTCGGGTTGCTCCATGTGGTGCTCAATGAATTATATATGATGAACAATGTCTATTGGATTTCAAGTGTGTATACAGGCAGCAGCTTGACTTTATTTAATGAAAGAATGTTCTATATATGTATATATCAACAATTTTTATAATTTCAAATGATAAAAGAAAAAGTAACTTACTAAATAGAAAAGATGATGGAACAATAGTTTTATATAAAACTGAAATAAGAAAAATCTAGAATACAGAAGAAAATGCAAAATTTGTGGCTCTCAACGAAACTAAATTATTTCTATTTATTTAGTGAATCGACATATGTGTTGTGTCGGTAATGCATCATAAGAGAAATGATTCATGAAGAAAATAGAAGTATAAACGTAAAAAAAGGAAGAAAGAACTTTTCTCTTTTCCTGTTCTTGATGTTAGGGTGCGAAGCAACAAAGAACGAAAACAATCTAGAATTTAGTTATTTTCAATCAAGGTCATGAAATAAGATAGAAAACCTGTATACTTTTATTTTCTATTAAACTGAACTTTAACTTTTTATCAGTAAATGATAAAGAAAACAAAAAAGATCAAAATAATTTGCAAGATGTTTTCTTCTTCTTCTTTGTTTGCAAAATAACAAATGTTTTTGGTGGAAAAAAAAACATTTTATTACTAATTTTAATATGGCATAACTCACGTAGGTTCAATGATGCGGAATATTGGAAATGAAAAAAAAAAGAAGGTTGACGATGTACTATTTATAATATGTGAGAACGAATATATGTAAAAAGATAAAGACAGCGCAAAAAGAAACACACTTTAATCACATGTGACAACCATTTGATAGACAAATCTACCTTCACCATGATGTTAGTTCAATGACAGAAATCTAACAATTCCGTGTTGTTGAAAATTATGCCAAGCAATAGTGAAGAAAATTAAACAAAAAGTGAAGAGAAAAGTAAAAAGTTGATCGTAAAATTTTTTAAAATGAAATGACGTCTAGGATGATTTAACCGTTCGGATGAGGTCGCGATAGGTCGATTGGTCGTCGACAGAGGACGGCACGGTATCCATCAAACAGTATTTATCTTGCGAGAAAAGAATCTGTTCTGACCCGGATGTATATAAGTTTGTAGAGATATATCCATTGCCTAGAAATCGAAGATGAAAAAGTTATATGTATGAAAGTGTTTCAAGATCCTTGATTTTAGAACAAAATATTTCAAAAAAAACAGGTGGCATTCACTGTATGAAGCTTCTAAATAGTGATTGTATGTGCCAGTCTTATTAATTGTTTTAGTGATGTTGTATGCTCCAGTGTTTTGAGCCATCCTCTTTGTAGGATGCCTTGAATTCCCTCGAATTGTACCTTAATTGCTGTTGAAATTCTAATTTCCGTAACAGTAGATGCTGCTACACTAATATAGACAGATTAGGTTCAAAGTGAAAAGTCTCATTAGTACATGTATTAGTCCCTAAGTAACTTAAATGAATGTGATTTTCGACGAAGAAAAATAAAAGTTAAATACACGTTTTATGTTCCTTGAAATTTTTTGTGTCTACTTCCAAAAACAGCTTTGCACACTTTTACGAAAAGAAGAAATAATATACGATGACATATGTGTTCGAATATGTGTTTTCTTCTATAATGAATGAGTTATTTTGTGAGAGAAAGAGATGAGTGAATTTCTAGAAAGAAGTGTAATGGCAGAGAGGCTTTTTAATTAATAGATGAAGCCATCTTACTAGATATGTTCTTATTGTAAAAAAAGTCTCTTCATGTGTAACTCGTGCAAGAGTGTATTGCATTAATTAAGTTCTATATCAATGAGAACGTCGTTTCTTACTTACTATCGACAGTCAAAAAATTTCTTTCAAGGATGCTTCAAAAGAGCACAGAAATGATACCCACGACATGTTTTCAATAAAATGTTCCTTCTTATTAGTTTTTTTTTCATGGTTTTTTTTTAACCTCAGAACTGACGCATCACTGAAATGATAGACGCCAAATATTGCTCGTAGCGAACTTGAATATCAAAATAGTTATATATACTGCAAAACAAAAAACAATAAAATGTGAAAATTATGTTGGAAAAAATCAATTTTCAAAGATGAAATTTTCTTATGTGTCGAAAATTTTGATATCAGAGCCAAATTTCAGATCGATATTCAAGTATTTATTGTTTCTTCAATATCTTACTATCAGCTAGAATTTCATGACAATGGTAACATTTTACAAAGCAAATTCATATATATGAATATTGTTGGACGTTTTTCTTTTCATCTCATCAAGATTTATTTTTACCAATGATAATATTCGAAAATACGAACTAAGCTTCAAATAACCTTTTTATTGCTTTCTCAATTGACATGCGACATACGCACTCATATCCACACCCTCAAGATCATTGATAAAAACATCAAAAAACTTCGAAAATCAAAATCATTTTTATGAATTCATACATTAGGTAACGTAGACAACACGCACATGTTTATTTTAAAAATCATTTTCTTGATGAAAATCGAATTTTCGAGGAGGTTCTTCGACTAAAACTAGGATTGTATCGAATCCAAACACTCGGATTCGATCTTGACTATGTTAAATCTACACCCATTGGCATAAGTGTTTCAAAAACCGAAGCTCTTCAAACATACTAAAAAAAGTCAACAATGTTGAGAAATACTTCAACCTGAACTTAATCGAACCTTAAGATATTTCCATGATCGTCTATATATCTGAAGAAAGACTGTGGAAGACATCCGAACACCAAGTTAGAATTCGGATTCAGTGCATGTCTGAGCAGAACTAAATTGATGAAGTTGATACTTGTTAGAGATTAAATAAAGAGTTTTTCTATTTCATCAAGTATCCTATATATCGAACAAGCAACAGTTCATATTATATTAATTCATTAAACCATATTTTTACTACGGTAATATCTCTCATAGCATCAAAATCGCGACAACTTTGAAACATAGAATTAATAATTTTTTATTTAGATTAATGGCGTCTATCTTTTAGTTTCTTTTTATTTTCCATTCGAATAAAAAGATTAAAATAATGTGTACCTCCAAAATCCCACAATTTGTTAAGTGGAACTTTTTTCAAAGCCTGACATAAAGCAACGGTTCATCATATTTTGAAACAACAAAAATTAGGCATCCTAAAGGCTTTCTAGTATAAGTAGAAGAAAGTTTAGGCTCAATAGCGTATCCTGCGATAGGAAAATGGAGGCGGTTCTCAACCTATTGTTTCTTGTAAGAAGAACTCATTTTTAAAAAACAGCGCAACAATACGTGAAGTCTTTTGTTTTTCGGTTTTTTTTGACTATTATAGGTATATATTAATTCGTGAAATATGTCTAGTAGAGAGAGAATAATTCGA